GGGGGGGGGGGGGGGGGGGAGAAAAAACCGGGTTCGAGTACAGATTACACCGTATCATGACCAGGTAAGAGGCTGACAAGGCTGAATGTACTTTGAGGATGCTGGGGGGTGCTGGAGTGCGCCTTAGGCCGAAGGGTCGAGAGGGTTTATGATTTTCAATTTATGAAGAGAATGTCACGTGGATTGCAGACGAGGCTGGACAGCCCTCTGATAGAATCTACCCATCTTCTGTTCACAATCGCATCTTCATCGATTTCCATTCTTACTCGACATTTCAAGTAGGCATCACACACCGCACCAAAAGGTAATTTTTTTTGTTTGTTATTAAATGTCTAGGAGGATCGTCTCTAATGACAATATTGTGGGGTGGCAAGAGAGGGAGAAAAAAAAGACGAGATGATTCTTCAAGAGGGAATAAGAAAACCACTCTAAACCATCAAGCATTTCTCTTCCTCCCCCACCCCGGGGTTTGATAAGATAAAAGGACTTGAGTAAAACAAGAGTTCTTTACGATGCAAATTTAGACATAGAGAAGAAAAAGGAACTGAATTTAACTCGAAGCTCGCAAAGAGGTGGGGGGTATGTAAGCTGATTACTGCGACTTCTCGTGCTGAGTAGAGACACGCTGGAGAGAGACGACTGCATCGGTTGTTAGTCACCGTGTTCCGACCATGGATATTGGGACTCGTGCTCAGGAGAGTGAGGGGGGCGAGGGGTGAAAGACTTACCAAAGTCCTCGAGAGAGCGCTGCTTTTGGCTGCGCTTGGGCGACTTGCCGTGCATCAGGTTGTCGAAGCCGGCAGAGCCCTGCATGAAGTAGTAGAGACCACCCATGATGCAGAAGATACCGAACGAGAAGATCCAGATACGGACGACACCCACAATGTTGACGTCCTTGTCCTCACCGCGGAACCAACCGAAGATGGCGAAGAGGGTGGCGATGATGTCGACGATGAGGATGGCACCGGCCAGCTGCCACGAGGGGATCGAAGTCCAGAAGGGTCCGTTGGCACGGGTGATGAAGATCAGCCAGTTCTCGGTCAGGGAGACCTCGAGGAAGACGATCTCGTCAATGTCACCATAGTTCTGGGTGATACCACCGTTCTCACCACCGACGTAGAGGGTGGTGAGACAGATCCAGGTGCCGATGGCGAGGACGACGCCGAGAGCGACCGACATACCCCAGAGCTTGGGCAGGTTCCACTTGACGGGAGTCTGCGAGAAGGGAGCGTTGTCGTAGGCGATGGCGAGGGTGGCGATGTCGGCAAAGATGGCGATGAAGACGATCAGCTCGAGGTTGAGGGAGCGGTTCAGGATGGCGATCCAGAGACCGAGGAAGATCTCCATGTGCAGGGACAGGGCGATACGGTAGACGACGTAGGAGTACATGCGGTGGAAGATCTGGCGCGACGTCTTGAGAGCGTCGATGATGGCGCCGAGACCGGGGGCGAGGAAGACGATGTCGGAAGCGGAGCGGGCGGCGTCGGAGGCACCCTCGACGGCGATACCAGTGTCGGCCTTCTTCAGCGAGGGGGCGTCGTTGACACCGTCACCGGTCATGGCAACCAGGTAGCCGCGCTGCTGCAGGATCTCGACGACGGAGTACTTGTGCTGGGGGAAGACCTCGGCGAAACCGTCGGCGGCCTCGACGAAGTCGTAGACCTCGGAACCGGGCATGTCACCACCGCCACCGAGACCGAGGCGCTCGGCGTTGTAGACGTTGGTACCGAGACCGAGCTGGCGGGAAGTCTCGCGGGCAATGCCGACGGCGTCACCGGTAAGCATCTTGATGGAGAGACCGAGGCGCTTGGCCTCGTGGATGGTGCGGGCAGTGTCGTGGCGGGGAGGGTCAGAGCAGGGCATGATGCCGAGGATCTCCCAGGCACCCTCGCCACGCTTGCGGGCAACACCGAGCGAGCGGAAACCACGGGTAGCGAACTCGGCGACGCAGTTCTTGTAGGCCTTGTCGACCTCCTCGGGGATGGGGTGGTCCTCCTCGACGGTCTTGAGAACGAACAGGGGGGCACCCTTGACACAGGTGATGCGCTCACCCTGGGGAGACTCGACGAGGGCCTGGACCTTCTTGGAGACGGGGTCGAAGGGGTGGAACTCGATGACCTTGTACTTGGACAGGACACCCTTGGCGCGGGGGTAGAACTTGAGGGACTTGAGGAAGGCCTTGTCGATGGCGTCGATACCCTTCTTCTTGCGGGAAGCAGCCAGGCAGGCGGTGAGCATCAGGTCATCGGGCTCAACACCGGCGACGGTGTAGGGCTCGGACAGAGACAGCTTGTTCTTGGTCAGGGTACCGGTCTTGTCGGAGCAGAGGATCTCGACACCGGCAAGGGACTCGATGGCGGACAGCTTCTGGACGATGGCCTGCTTCTTGGCGAGGTAGGCGGCACCGACAGCCATGGTGGTGGTGACGACGGCGGGGAGACCGACGGGGACACCGACGATGGTGATGCCGAGGGTGAAGCGGAGAATCTTGATGATGGGGTTGGAGCGGTAGAAGGACGAGACCCAGACGACGAGCAGGGTGACGACGACGAGGATCAGGAGGATCGTACCGATACCGTTGAGGACCTCGGTGAAGTGACCGGTTCCACCAGCGGACTGGGAGACGAGGGCGGCGGCGCGACCGACGAAGGTGTTGTCACCAGTGGCGGTGACGACGACGAAGCACTCACCACGCTTGACAGCGGAGGAAGAGAAGCAGTTGTCGCCCTGGTGCTTGTCGACAGCGAGCGACTCACCAGTGATGGCGGACTGGTCAACCTGAAGGAAGGCATCCTCGGTAACGATGCGACCGTCGGCAGGGATGATGGTACCCTCCTCAACCTGGAGAATGTCACCGGGAACGACCTCGGGGGCCTCGACCTCCTTCAGGGAACCGTCACGGAGAACGACAGCCTTGAGAGCAAGAGTCTTCTTGAGCTCCTCGACAATGGAACCGGCCTGGTACTCCTGGAAGAAACCGACGCAGGCGTTAAGAAGCAGAAGACCGAGAATGACACCGAAATCGACCCAATCCTCGAGACCGGCGGCGAGAACAGCGGCAGCCTAGAGTGTGGGGAGGGAATTGGTCAGTATGCAAATTAGACAAGAGACGGATATATGCATAGCGTGCGCTACGGGCACAGATGCGAGGAATTGCGTTTGATGGCTTTTTTTCTGGAGGGGGGGGGTGAGGAAGAATTGTGGGCAGAGCGAGCGAGAGATTGCTTCCTGGGGGTGTGTATGTGTGTGTGTGTGTGTGACAAGAGAGAGTGGAGTTGGTCGGCCCAGTGGCGGCACGCTGGCGAACTTGGTCGGCTTGCCTCAGGTGGGAAACAACTCGGATACGAGTGAAGCCAACTGAGCCAAGTTGACGAAATTGCATTCAGCGCGATCAACGCGTCCGTCGCCAACAAGGGAGAAGTGGGGCAGAGGATTGTCCGACATTGTAGCCCGATTTCTTTTCTTGCTAGCAGCGACGCCGAGGGAGAGGGAAAAAAAGAGCAAGTGGGAAGGGGAGAGAAAAAAACAAAAAGTGGTCCTGGAAGCGAAGAGCGAGGCCCAGTGGGTTGCATCGAGAGCTGCCGAATTGGCTCCACCATCCTTGTCGCTAGAGCTGGTGTGGAGACCGAGAGATTGCGGTTCCCCAAAAACGCGCATATCCATGGGTCCAAAACAATAATCGGCCAGGCAGCGATTGAAACAGTCTCCAACTGCCGCTCTCAAGATAACGCGAGCAATTTGAGACGAATCGATCTCGAAAACAAGGCAGGGCAATTGAATCGTAATGGAACATGGACAAGGCGGTTCTCGTCTTTTCTCTTTCGTGGGGAGGAGAGGGGGTATATAGGAATGGGGGAGAATAAATCGAATAGTAACTCACCTCCATAACGAACTGAATGGGACCGATGAAGAAGCCGAAGAACTTGAGAACCAAGTTCTCCTTCTCCTCCTTCATCTGGTTGAGACCGTACTTGCGACGGCGGGCAGTGACCTCGGCGTCGGTCAGACCGACGCGGGGGTCGGTCTGGAGCATGTCCTCGGGGATGACACGTCCACCACCGGGCTGGGTCTCCTCCTCCTCCTCCTCGTCGATGTGACCGTCATGGGACTCGAGGTCCTCGATGAGGGCATCCATGTCCTCATCCTCCTCCTCGTCCTCAGCGGGCTTCGGGGCCGGAGCCTGCTTCTCTTTGAAGCCACCAGACTCGATGTCGGTGTTGAGCGCCGGGGCGCTAGCCTCTTTGTCGGCCATGGCTAAGCTGGCTCTTTTTTTTTTGGTTTCTTTTTTTTGCTTGTTGGGTATCGCTCTCAGTTCATGTGATGAACCGTTGGGTTGGGTATTATAAGAGGGAGAAAAAGAAGAAAAAAAAAGTCTGGAGCAGAGAGCCCTTTATAGGAAACCAAGACTCTCTAGTTGTTGGGTCAAGGTAGATTTGGAGAGAGAAGAGGGACGGAGGGGGGAGAATAAAGAGGAGTGTCAAGCACCACACGAACAGGTAGGGGTCGCGATAATGCACAGCATCCGTGGGTGAAGAGGGAAAGAAGAAAAGAGAGGATGGAGGAGGGAGAGAGCTTCTATTTCAATGGGAAGGAAGTTGGTGGTGGTGTGCTCTGAATCGGGGGAGGGGGGGGGGGGGCGTGTCTGTTGGTGGGTGTGGTCTGTACCTGTGGGTGTGCCTGTGTTGTGGGCGTGTTCTACGGCCGGCTGCGGTATTCTGTGGCACTCCCCTCTCTCTC